GAATACTTGAGCACATGCGATATTTCAGTTTTTTCTTTTTAATAAATGTACAGACATTTTTAAAATTCTGTTTTCACTTAGTCATTATGGGGTAATGAGTGTAGATTAATGAGAAAAAAAATGAATTTGAACGATTGTAGTATCAGGCTGCAACATAACAAAATTGAAAAAAGTGAAGGGGGTCTGAATACTTTCCGAATGTACTGCATACCTTATGGTTGCATGTACACAACACGCTGAGGTTAGCTTTAATTATTTTTTGTGGTTTAGTATATTCAATATATTGTGTGAACTATGAAAATGGCTAAATATAGTAATGATTAAGCATGTTGTACAAACAAAACCACTATGTAAAAAATTCAGGAAGAAGCTTCCAACCCAGTTATCATTTATCTTACCAAAAACTTGTAGATCAGGATTGAAAGAGTTCAACAAAGCAAGGCCAAAAATAACCTATTAATAAATAAATAAATAAAGAGAAGTTAAAAGTTAATATATTACAATTCAGTACCATCAAAACTGGGCATGTTTTCTCTTAAGAAGAGAACACCAGGGGGTATGATAGCACTACTAAAATTCCTAAAAGGAGATCACACAGAAGACAAAAAAAGAACAATTTTGTATCAAATCAGAGTGCATCAGAACAGTTTGATATCGGAACCAGAAAGGTGGTGAACTCCCCTCCACTGGATGTGTTCTGTCTGGGATATTTTAATCTGAATCCCTGCGCTGAGAGAGTAGGCTGGACCTGCTGGCTTTAATTCTCCTTCCCATTTTATGGTTCTAAATAAGCAAGCCAGGGGTTAGCAACGAGACTGAATAATGCTGCTTTATTCCCCACTTTTGCAGCCCACCCAATATACCCAATAGATCCTGCCATGCAGTGGATCAGGATTTGGAGGGTGATGCTTCTGGCATTTTGAAGTACAATGCTAACAAATATTAGAGCCAGTCAGGAAGTAGGGTAAAACTAGAGGACCTGCTGGTGGCTGTTGCCTACTTATTTCCCAAGGGAAACAGGCTAACAGAAGCATACAGGTAGTCATCGCTTAACAACCATTCGTTTAGCAAGCATTTGCCATTATGACAGTGCTGAAAAAATGGACTTACAACCTGTGTCCACAGATACGGCCCTTGCAGCACCCGCAGAGTCACGTGATCAAAATTCAGGTGCTTGGCAGCCTGCCCACATTGACTGCAGGGGCATTGAAACTCCCCCCCCACTTATGTCCCCATCTATGCCCTTTTGGCTGCCCTGCATATGGCACTCATCAATGGCAGTGCCAGGCTGGGGGTGAAATTGAGGCCTGGGGGCGGTGGCAGCTGCCTGAGACTGCTGATGGCCTTGGGCATCTACTTCAGCCTCAGCCCTGGTGCTGCCGCCAACAAGTGCCGCTGTGCAGGGTGGCCAAAAGGGCATAGATGGGGAGAGATAGGTGGGTGGGGGGAGTTGCAGCGCCTCTGCAGTCGTAAGCACTGCTGGGCTGGACTGGAGCAGCTGAGGCTTCCGGGGCGGCTACAGCTTTGCGCTGTACTGCAACACCCCCCCAACTCACGTGTGGCCTGCGCTGGTCCTCCCCCACCCCCAGGAGCCTGCGCTCCTTACCTGGGACTCCATCCACTTAATGACCCACTATTCTAGCTTAACAGCAGCAGCTGGGAGTGCCAGGACTGCAGTCACTAAGCGAAGCAGTCATGTATTAATTCACTTAATGAGCACATTGCTTAGTGACCTAAATTCTGGTCCCAATTGTAGTCATTAAGTGAGGACTACCTGTATTAGTTGGTGCATTTTTAAGATTCCATCAAGACACTGATGCTGCCCGCCCCCAACGATGCTGAGTGTGTAAGAATAGAACAGATAGCCCACCTCTTGAACCTTGCTTAATTTGATAACTTTGCTCAGCTGAGTGAATAGATGGGGTGATGGCTTAAGACTCTGAAAGAAACAAGAATATTGTGCACAATTTAACAGAAGGGAGAAAAAATTATTAAAACAAGAAAAGCAGCCCAATATCAAACTTCTATACAATACTTAAAACAAAATCAGGATTCTTAGAAGCATAATTCAGATTCAAGACAACTACATTTCTTCTGTGACTTCCAGCATTTCCCCAAGCCAACGTAACATTCTTGTTTTTATTACTATAAGCATCTTGCCAATAGAAGAGAATATACGTAGCTCAGGGTTGAACTGTGGAGTCCTCGGGGTTCTCTGAGCTTGGTTGTTTTCTTGCAGACGTTTTGTTACCGGTCTAGGTAACATCTCCAGTGCTAGAGGGGAGTGGGGTTGGCTCTCTGTTTATATACAGTAGCTTGCCCTGTCAGTGTTGGTGGAGTTTTTTTTCTTCTTCTTGGTAGTTCCTTGATTAGGGTATTGTTTACTGCTTGACTGTTTGTCTGGTGTTAATCTTGGTGTTAACCTCTGCTTATCTGGGCAATGACTGCTGGTGAGGAGATGTTCTGGTCTTTTGTTTCCTTTTTAGTGTCTCTTTTGAAAAACACCACAACTGCATTTCAAAAATTAGAAGCTTATTTCTACTTGGCAACATTTGGTCAATCCTTTATTTTAAAAAATCAAAAGTTCATCATTAATTATTGGAAGGAACAGAAGTAGTGAACAGAGATGAGTTTGAGGTTTTATCAAAACAACTACCCTATACATATTAAATTTAAATTTTACACTGATGTATTACTATACAGACACCTTTTGAAAATACCTAATATTGTTGTCCTATGGAGATTATCAGGTCCAGCCACTGAGATTTTTTCTCTTAGTACTTCTGGGACTGAAAGCTTATGACTACATTTTTTAATTTGGGGGTGGGGGACGGTGCCTTTGAGTCACTGTTGACTCCTGGTGACTGACTGGACAAGTCCCTGCAGTTTTCCTGGCAAGGTTTTTCAGAAGTGGTTTGCCATTCCCTGTTTCCTAGGGGTGAGAGAAAGTGATTGGCCCAAGGTCTCCCAGCTGGCTTTGCGCCTAAGGTGAGACTAAAACTCAGGGTCTGCTGGTTTCTAGACTAGTGCCTTAACCACTACACCAAACTGGCTCTTATGACTACATTAACTCATGGAAAATTAAGACTGAATCAGCAAACAGCTCCAAGCATTTTGTTCACTAAGATTCCCATTACACAGAGAATTCAAGACAATTCTCCCAATATTTTGTTCACTAAGATTCCCATCTCACAGAGAATTCAAGACAATTGCAATGTCACTCTTGTGGGATCCTGCAGGATTTCAGACTGGCCCCTCTGTTCTTCAGGTTTTATACAAGAATGCTGAAAAAGGTGCTACCAGACTCCTCCTGATCTTTTGCTACTATAGACTAATGCATCTTTCTTCCTACAGTGCTGATTAACTAAAAATCATCTTTTGGAATCTGTATAAAATGTGCTTCTTCTGCCTTCTAATGGCTACAATTTTCCTCGCTAAGTTTTTATATTTAAACATAATTATTTATATTTAACTGTTTGATTTTATACTTTAATACACATTGCTACTTGAGTTTGGGTGAAAGGACAAAAAATATCCACAAACTAATATAAAGATTCCAACATCTCACAATCTTTAAAATACTTGAAGGGCAAGAAATGCTGGGTTATAGTCATAAATTTTGTAACAATGGCTGAATAGTGCAACAAATTATGACTTGTTTAATAATTCCACAGGACATTAGGATTTATTAAGCCAATACAAACCTTCTGATAATGCAATGGATTTTCAATAGCATAGGATAGCGTTGAAATGAAGTTTGGCTTTGTAATCAATGATGCACACTCCTGGATCAGAAACTGAGTCTGGAAAGAAAGGAAATAGTTATATAAAAGGTGTTGTCTTTGAAACTGACAATACAGCTATAAAACATAATTCATATAGCTTCTACTTTGAACCATTTTGCCATGGAGTGCACAATAATATTATAATTTTATATCATGCTAGAGACTAGATGGCTAACACAGTTTGCTTGGTTAGTCTTTCTAGAAGACACAGATATTCATAGTTATTACCGGATACGCTCACTGTAATATATTATCATGACGTGTATTTAAAGAGAATGGTAACCAAGATAAATGAACAGGTATTTTACAGAAAAACAGAAGCAGATAAAAGTTGCCCTAAAACCAAAAGAACTATTAGATTAAAATATGCCTTTAGAACAAGAGTTGGATTCACAGGTATTAGCAAAATAAGCTAAAGCCATATCTTGAACTGTTACTTTAGACCAGTGTTTCTTAAAGGGTGGTCTGAAGACTCCTGGGGCCCCAAGACCCTCTCAGGGGCTCATATAATCAAAATTATTTGCTAGGTATTGAAGATATTTGCAAAAATTTAAAACAATGTCACTCTTTTTATTTTTTATTTGTTAAAAAAAATAGGGTTTTGTCATGAAAAATATTTTTATTTATGTTAATATCTAATGGGTTTAATATTGTTATTTTTATAAATTCAATAAATATTCTACAAATGCATGAATTTTAATTTTTAATACAGTAAACATCAATAAATATAAAGCTCTTTTGGGGTCCTCTATAATTATTAAAAGCAGGAAGCGTCCTGAGAGCAAAAAGTTGAAGAAACATTGGTTTAGACAGCTTTAACAGATGTTGCAATTTCTAAAATGTTCCTTCTCTGTTTTTAGTTTTCAAGAGACTTTATAATTTTCTCATTTGCTGGGAGAAAAAAAAAAAGGCGGCACAGGCCTTTTCAATAGGTACTCTACTTTGAAACCCTCATAGGAAGAGGCATTTAGCTGATTCTCTTCCAAATGGCTATGTACAGGTAGTCGTTGGGACCAGAATTTCCATCGCTAAGCGAAGTGGTTGTTCAGCAAAACATCAAGTGACTGGGCCGCTTAGCAACAGCAGCCCCGGCAGTCCAGATTGCAGTTGTTAGGCCAGGACCAATGCGTCTCCTGCCCTGTGCAAACTGCTGGCTCCATCCCGCTGCCTCCTCCCCAGACGGGCCCAGCAACCTCCCTTCGGCCTCCGCTTCAGCCCCCCCACCTATCTCCCCCCCATCTCTGCCGCTTTGACCACCCTGCACTCCACTGCTACCACCTACCCCTGCTGCCCCCAGCTGACCTTCGCCATCTTCTTCCTCCCGCTGCTGATGAGGTGCACCTGGCCGAGGCAGCTGCTGGCCCTTTGTGAGGCATTGGTGGCAGAGTGCAGGGCACCCAAAAGGGCAGAGATGGGGAGGAGACAGGTGGGTGGGGGGAGTTGAAGCACATGCTGCAGTTGTATACGCAGGCAGGCTGCCAATCACCTGAATTTTGATCATATGACTGTGGGGGCAGCTGTAACTTCGAGGACCAGTTTAACTACCATTTGTTCAGCACAATCATAACTTCAAACAGTTGCTGAACAAATAGTCATTAAGCAAGGACTACCTGTATTATTGAACTTGTATACTGCCCGACCCTCAATAACTCTGGGCTGCTCACAACAATCAAAGAAATTATAATAAAATCAATAAAACATAAAATGTAAAAGCTGGTAAGCTTGATGAAGTGAGGGGTCTCGCTCTCCCTTCGCTGAAGGCCTGGGTGAAGAGCCAGGCCTTCATGGCTCTTGTAGATCACAGCAGAGATCTACTGCCATCCATCCAGATGTTGGGGGGGAACCTCATTCCAGAGGGCAGGCTACTACAGAGAAGATGTGCTTCCGGGGTCCTGAGAGAAGACACTGTTTAATCAAAGGAACCAGAAGTACACTAACCCTACCGGATTGAATCAGCCAGGCAGATGTTATGGGAGAGAGGCAGTCCCTCAGGTAACCAGGCCCTATGCCATGTAGGGCTTTACAGATAATGTCCAGCACCTTGAATTGCTCCTGGAAGCAAACCAGCAACCAGAGCAGTTCACAAAGCAGAGGTGTTACACAGGCGCACCAAGGCATGCCTATTATTGCCCACACTGCTACATTCTGGACCAGTTGAAGCTTCCAGGTGGCTTTCAAGGGCAGTACCATGTAGAGAGCAGTGCAGTAGTCAAGCCGCAAGATAAAAATAAAGAGCAAAATAATAGGAAACTCTTCACTTCAACTTACCTGGTGGAAATCTTTACCGCTACTTTTACCATCGCCACTGAAATCCACATGAGAAAAGAGACAGCGTAGCAAATGCCTGTCTGCTTCAGGACCGTGCCGGTTCACAATCTAGAAGCAAAAAATACCCCCCCCCAAAATTACCTTCAAGAGCCAAGCTCAAATGTACTTGCAATCATATCAATTATATCTCCCGTTGGAGGGAGATGGGCAGCATACAAATTTAATAAATACATACATACATGCATACATACACACATACACTGTATAATGCAGACACTGCAGCCAGATGAAATAGAAGCTAAGATCTAGGCTTTACAGCTTGGCACCTAGATATCTGCATGACCATTTCCTCCCATCAGAAAAGGACTTGCCCAAAATTTTCCCAATTTATCTTGGGAAAAACTCCCCAAATGGTGGTGCTCCTTTTTCAACAGGTGAGGAGGACCGAGGCAATAAGGGTTCCTGCATTCTGGAACAGCCTCCCTTGGAAGTTAATTAGTGTCCTCAAGAAGACCCTTCCAGAAGTTAAAATGGAAATCTGCCAGAGGGCATTTGGAATTTATTTATTTGATAAATTTATATGGCTGCCCATCTCATATGCATGACTCTGAGTGGCTAAAATAAAATAAAATAAAATAAAATAAAAGTAATGAAAAAACAACCAAGTTTAAAACAGAGATAACATGAAATAACTTAGCAACCAAGAAATGGGCTCAGCCATACTATCAGGGCCCCAGGCTTGATGGCAAAGCCACCTTTTTCAATGCCTTGCAAAAGGCCAGCAGGGTCAGGGTAAGTCTAATTCCTGGCAGAATAATGTTCCAGAGGGTGGGTGCCAGGGCAGAAAAGGCTCTCTTCCTGGGCCCCGCCAGATGGGACTCTTTTGCGGATGGGGTTGGAGCATGCCTCTCCTGCCAGATCTAACGGGATGGGCAGACACCACTGGGGAGAGAGGGTCCCGTAAGTAACCCAGCCCCAAGCCATGAAGGGTTTTAAAAGTAACCACCAGCATCTCAAATTGCACCCAGAAGCACAGGTGTCACATGTGCAAAGACTGGCACCCATAACTATTGTGAGAAATGCTAAAAAGTAATAGTTATTAGTGACAAAAAGGTAGCTTTTACTTGACC